TATATATATATATATATATATATATATATATATATATATATGTATTATATAAAAATGATGATAGTGGAAATTAATACTTGATTCGAACGAGGTAAAAGGTAAGTAATCCTCGACGTAAAAAAGGTAAAACAACACTCGACAAGCTTTTGGAAAACAAAAAAGAAAAAAACGAAAAAAAATGACGATGACGTTGTTGAAAGAGTTGTCATTAACTAATATAATATAATATAATATAATAAAGACGATTCTGTTGGAACAAACCTCGGTAGTATCGACGACGACGATAGGTAACAGAATCAGTGGCCATAGTGCGATCACGAACGATCTCCAGTAGATTGAGAGAAATCGTATCAGCAATTTGCCAAATCCGTCTGTTCTTGTTCCTTTACTGAAACAGTATCGGTAAAAAAAAAAAAGAAAAGAAATGAAACGATACGTATGTATAGACGCTGATTTTATACACGCCGAAGAGATGAATGACGCGAGTAACGAGCCAACGCGAGAATTGCGAGATTTTGATGGGAAAACGCAAAGAAACCGATTAAATTGTATTAAGTTGTAATAGTTTTGAAGTTTCTTCATTGGCAAATTCATCGTTCGATAAATTGCTGTTTGAATCGATAAAAACATACACACGCGTACATACGTAAAATACAACATGAGGAAGTGAAAAGAAAAAAAAAAAAGAAATTATCTAATAGAAAATAGTATGATGCAGTGTTATTGAGCTTGCTACGACATTAGAGAAGAATAATACGACGATTAATTTCACTCGCACACGTCAGAAACGTGTCTTCTCATTCCTTTTTTTGACTGTGATCCCCATTCCACACGATTACAACTACGATTAATCGATTAATCGACAATTCGTGAACTTGCGATTTTCGTTCGTTCTTCAATTATAATTAAAAAAAATGCATACCTCGTGTTGGCAGTAGGATCGGCAGCAGTTTCCAGATATGGATCATCGGTCTGCGAAGCCATCGTTGTTCGAGCCAAGAGCCATGTACTTGCTTACCTACCTAGAAAAGAAACCGAAATATCGGACTACGTGGACGAAGCGTGTTCCTCTATTCTTCGGCGGAGAAAAGGGACAGGGTGGAGAAGGGACAGGACAACGCGACGATTTCGACGCACCGCGTGTGCCTCGAATGAACTGACGAGAGGCGTTCGCCTCAGTTGGAAGCAACGTGTCTCGTTTTGCCATAATTAATCAGTCGGTGATTTCAAAACCGACTGATTTGCGTCTGCATTGTTCCTTGCGATCGAATCGGCACGTACTTTGCATCTTGTATATTATTACATATACGTGCAAAGAGTTGCGCAAGTTGGCAAGATTCTTTCCTCGCGATTCTACCTCTGCCCTTCTTCTATATCTTCTCTAGTCCCTCTCCTTTCATATCCTATACTCGGATTACGGATTACGGATTACAGGCCAAGTAATTTTGCTAACGAGCCACACCGAACGAGATTGACCCCGAGAGAGGGTCAGGTTGCACGACCGCGGTCCTCTGACAGTCTAACCCCGTCCTC